TCGAAAGCCAGTTCTAGCAGCAAACCGAAGAACGAGTGAGGATTAAGCACGGCGTTGCAATGGCTACAGAATCCCTTTTCAACTATCTTTTGCTCCAGAGAACTTTTGCTCCAGAGAACCCGACATACTCGTGCAGCACTGCAAATTATGTCGTCATTTTTAGCAATTGCTAAATTAAGATTTCTTCGGGTGACCGAAGGATAGTGCTGGTCGCAATGAGGTTGCAGCCATGTGCAACGTGTGCAGAACGCTGGGGGCAAATACTCTCTACAATATTTAGTAGTATTTAGCCACTGTATTCTGCGGTGGCAGGAGTTGATGCACCATGGTGTCAAACGACGCGGCTTCATCGTCAGTCGTGAGACGGCCTTGTGTATGGCACATGGCCACGCACACATGTGTTATTCCCACAATCGGAATTTTTCTCAACATGGCAGACAACTGGCTGGCCGATATCATTTTGGGCATCGGCGTTAATGTGGCGGTACTGCTGCTCTGCTGGCTGCGGGGCACACCCTCAAGCACAGGGCTGCAGCTTTCGAGTAACACACGGAGAGCTGCGGAGAACAGGAACGGTCTTAGCGTTTATGCAACGTTTCCGAGCCACTTCAGCAGCGGACTGTGCGGCGAAGACGTGCAGCTGGCAGGGGGTGTCGTGATCGCAGTGGCCATTACGGTGTATATGGCGACCGAGATCACAGCGACGGCGTCGAGCATGAGTCGAGGCGCATTAACGTGAACGGAACAGCGAACAGTTTACTTAAAATTAAAACCAAGCCAATTTTTAAAAATGAACACTCATGGTTACCGCATTTTTCGATAAACGGCACACGCGGTGATCTCATAAGTTATGAGTCATTTCAGGAAGACCAGCAGGATATTAATTCATCTTCTGAGGGGAAAGTGACGGACCAACTACTGAAAGAAGACACTTTAGCCCAACAGCCTTGCTTTCGACCGGTCGCACAATATGCGACTGCTCCAATTGCTGACCCTACGACAATGGAGAACTGGGTCTTGGAGATTGCACTGGGCTTCAGCATGAGCGTGGCGGTACTTGCTTTCTGCAGGATCAGCGGCTGGAGACCCGTGGACACTAGCAGCAGCATACGATGGCACGACGCGCAATTCGACTACGAGGAGACCAACGACGTCGAAGTCATCGAGCCAACTATACTCTGGAGCGGCGGCATGGAGACGACAGTGGGGTTAGTTGTGGCTGTGTCGGTAATGGCAGCTGTGGCAGCGGAGATAGCATTGGAAGCCGAGAGACACCTAATCGGAGCTGCAAGGTACTAAAAAGATTCTGACCAAGAGCTTCTTGGCGCCTGGAGAGCCTGGACGTACCAAGAAACACAGTAGGGCAATTTAGTTTTCCAACTACGTTGTTGTTTTCCGTATTGACTGGTTGTTAGCAGAATTTTCCTGACATCTCGCAGGCTAGACTAAGGCTGCAGCACCGCTTTTAACACCACCCTTGTCGACTTCTTCCCTCACGTACTCAAGCCCACCAGCGTCGTTGCCTCTGCTGTCACGGAACACCCTGAGCCCGAGGTACCCGTCCTCATTGTCACTGCTGCTGCTATACGGCCCCCCACCTTGTGCTTCACGCTGTCCTCGCTCTCGGCCGTCCAGATACATCTTAATGAACGTGAAGGCGAGGAAGGCTACCAGCAGGGCGCAAAATGCGATGGCAACCCATACGTAGATGACACCATTTTATCTCGCTTGTAGCAAGTCGATGCGTTTCCAGTCCAATCGCCAAATGACAAATGACAAATGACACGGCAGAGACTTGTAGCTCATCCTTGATCCTCACTGAGGATTCCTCAGTAGTGTACCCAGTGAGTCACTGGCGCCGGCCAAACGCCTTGAGGTTACTTACATCATGTAAGAAACCTCATGGCTTAATCGCCACTTCGTTATGATCGCCACTTCAACTTGGGTCTTACAAAATGCAAGATAATTGATGATTTGAGTTTACTAAGAAAAACTGTGTGTTTCTTTTTTACAGCTTTGGACAAATTTAGTGCACATCATTTTTGTGTCATTCCGACCACCATTCATCATGTTGGCGCGTCGTCGGCCCTTCGTAGCATCCTACGTGCGTCGCGCTGCTCTGCGAGCGTTGAGCAGTGCTGTCGCCCCTCCCCACTTCGATGTGGTCGTGGTAGGCGGAGGACACGCGGGCTGCGAAGCTGCCGCAGCTGCCTCCCGAACCGGTATGCTCCACTCTAATTTACCAACCGCATTTTTGTAGCTGTTCACCTCTTTCATGACAACTGCGCAATGCTACTCAGGTGCTAAAACCGCATTGGTGACGCAGAAGCTGGCAACAATTGGCGAAATGTCGTGCAATGTAGGTGGCAGTCCACTATTCTTGACTACTGTTTCTAGAAGCCGTTCCAACTCACCAAAATGTGTGCACCTTGACAGCCGTCCATTGGTGGAGTCGGTAAAGGTACTTTAGTGCGCGAAGTGGACGCAATGGGTGGCCTCATGGGCCAGGTGGCCGACGCGGCCGGTATCCAGTTTCGTATGCTCAATTCGGCCAAGGGGCCAGCGGTGAGAGGCCCGCGAGCTCAGATGGATCGAGATTTGTATCAGCAAGGAATACAGAAAGCACTACAGGAACTGCCGAATCTCTGGCTGGTAGAAGATGGAGTGGACGACCTCATGTTGGAGAAGATAAACCAGAGTAACGACGACGTAGAGGAGCGCGTGAAGGGCGTAGTGACGTCTTCAGGTCGCGAGATTCAGGCTTCACAGGTGGTTATTACGACGGGCACGTTCCTCCGTGGTATGATTTATCAAGGACCCGATATTCGCATTCCGGCAGGACGACACATGCGCGACACGGCTGGCCTTGAGCCTCCAGCAGTTGGTCTGGCGCAGACACTAGAGCGTTGCAAATTTCCCCTTGGTCGCTTGAAAACCGGCACGCCACCTCGCCTTGATGGACGCACGATCGACTACTCAGACCTTGAAGTGCAGCCAAGTGACAACCCGCCGAAGCCATTTTCCTTCCTGAACGAGCACAAACAGGTCCCACTCGCAGATAAACAGGTCGTCTGTCACGCTACCTACACGAACGAGGACAGTCATCGTATTGTACGTGACAATCTGCACATGCTACCGCAGTATGATGGTGGACGGGATGGCGAGGGCGTAGGTCCGCGGTACTGCCCGTCGATCGACGTTAAGGTTGTTCGATTCGCTGATCGCTCGAGACATCAGCTTTGGCTCGAGCCTGAGGGTTTAAATACGCACCTTGTGTACCCTAACGGCATCAGTACTGCACTACCTGAAAACCTACAGCTCGAATTGTTGCGCACAATAAAGGGACTGAAGAAAGTGGAGATCATTCGCGCTGGATACTCAGTTGAGTATGACTACGTGGACCCGCGATCGCTGCATCCTACGCTTGAAACAAAGAAACTCTCTGGACTGTTCTTGGCTGGCCAGATCAATGGCACGACCGGGTACGAAGAAGCCGCAGCACAAGGAGTCGTGGCTGGCATGAACGCTGGTTTAAGCGCTATGGGACGGGAGCCATTGATTCTCGACCGCGCCGACGCCTTCACAGGTGTTCTTATCGACGATCTCATCTCATTAGGCACGACGGAGCCGTACCGAATGTTCACATCTCGGTCGGAATTCCGTCTTCTGCTACGAGCGGATAATGCCGACTTGCGACTCACTCGCAAGGCGTTCGAACATGGCGCTGGCATCCCCAGTGAGCGAATGGAGAAGCTAGAACGGAAGGAGAAAGCCATGGAGTACGCGCGTCAAGCTCTGGACGAGTTTGTGCGTGACCCGCACGAGTGGAACCGCTACGGTGTCAAAGTCGGCTTAGACGGTGTAAAGCGTAGCGCTGCACAAATCCTCGCCTTCTCGACTGTGACCCCGCAGGACATTGAGCGTTTGTGGCGTCAAGTTGGCTACGAACACGCAGACGCTTTACCCGATGAGATCAAGGAGTTTATGAAGACCGAGTGTCTGTACGCAACGCAGCTGCGTGCACAGCATCAAGAGATCCGTGTGTTCCGCAACAAGCAACACGTACAGATCCCCGAGTGGGTCGATTACTCCGAGCTGCCCATGATCTCGAACGAGGAGCGCGAGAAGCTGCAACAAGCTCAGCCCGCCACAATCCACGCGGCCAGTCGCATCGCAGGTATCCGATCAGCGACACTGCTTTTACTTTACCAGTACGCGATGCGCCAGCCGCACGACGGACTTACCAAGAAACAACGAAGACGTAGAGCCATCGCTCAACGTAGCAGTACGCAGGAAGAAGCCGCCGCGACGTAAAATACACCTGAACAACTGACCAATGTAGCTATCTATTCGAATGTAGCCATGTCAAGCAGATCTTTTTTTTTGGCAAAAAAAGATTCGCGTCGTTTCGTAAATCGCTCCAGACCCTGTGGACCTCATGGGCGCTGCAACGTCGACAGGCTTGGTGGATTCCGTGGTGGATGGAGACATTCAGCAGCTCAAAACCATTCTGCACAGCCACGAGGGAGACGCTAGCGATGCAAGTGACTCGTCCTTGTGGGAATTAGAGCTGGAAGAAGCTGTACATACAGTTGTCGCCTCGGAACTCGAGTCCGGGCAGCAACTTCAGCAGCTTCAGATCGCCTTGGAACTACTGCTACATGCTCGACCGGAAGCTTGGAGTTCCACAGCTTCCAGTCAAGATTTGAGTGAAGTCAACGGCGCGAAGAACTCGGCAGGGTGGACAGCTTGTCATCGAGCTTGTGCGACGGGGAATTTGGCCTTTGTGGCGTTCGTACTGCAGCATTACCCAGCGCAATTCGAGATCCAGACCCGCGACGCATTCGGTCTCTTCCCGATCGATTTGGTGCCTCCAGAGCTGCTTATGAGCGCTGCGGAGATCGTCGATAATCTCCATGGGGAACCTGACGCAAAGACGCCCAAGACGGCACGTACTCGTCGATGTATCTCCCTCCAGCGTCTACGAGAACGCAAGACGCAGCTACAAGACGAGCAAGTGCGTCGACTAATCGGTAAAGCAAAACGTGAAGCTCCAGACAACCAAGACGAAGAAAATCGTCAAGTTGGTGAATTTTACATTACATTTGAGCCGACACGCGAGCATCTCTCGGCTGACCAAGCCTGCAACATGGGACACGTTCATGAACGTAGCGAGGTCTTGCGCGTAACGTATCGCTTGCCACGTAGTGAGGCTTTTTTAAATGGCTACTTCCAGCTCATTTGGCGAGAACTCGGAGACGCTCGAAGCGAAGAGCCGATTTATGACCCTCAGATCACGAGACTTCGTGACGAGAACTCAAGTGAAGAAGCTCCTCTTCAGGCAGAGGCTCATAGTAGCCAAGAGGAGATGAAGGAAGTGTCCGTTCCTCGACCTCTTGAAGACCCTAGCTCAGGCTCCGTGGTGGAAGGTTGTGTCCCGGTTGATGTGAACCACTTGCCGGCTGACAGCGTCTGCCACGTCCTGTTCATCACTTGTGACCGACATTTGCTCCACCGCACGATCGCGTTGAGCACGGAGGGGCTCGCGATTCAAACTGCAGATATTGACAGTGACGACGACTTCTCGGACTCGACAAGTGAAGAGGAATTGGGGGATGTCGCTGAAGAGCAGCAGGAAGAAGACGTGAAGCAGCCAGGATACACGTTCTTCGTCGGAGGTGAGGAGTTCTCGCATCCGAATTCCGTGTTCGCGGGACAGAGTTTCCCGGACGTGGAAGCTTTCGAGAGTTTTTTACGAGACTTGAGAGGGAAAAAGCAACGCCGTCTGCAGGAGAAACAAGAACAGCAAGAGTGTCTGGAGCAAGCCAGAAAGCAGGATATGATCCGAGCGCAGCAACAGGAAGCAGGCCAAGAAGCGGAGGAAACGTCGAACAAAAGCGATGGGTCAAGACAACCCGAGCTACCAGAGGAGAACCAGAATGTCGACGATAAAAGTGGAGAGTAAGTTGCGTCTTTGTTTCGTTTTCTTTATAATTTTTTTTATATAATTCTGGCAATCGTAGGCCATTTTAGCGGATCGATAATTTCTGCGGAGATCCCTTTAATTACTTCAGAAGTGGAGCGGTATCATATCGCTGGAGGTTGTTGCGCTCTTTGTCTGTTGATTGCTGTTGAACACGACGAAGCCTACGCTCGTCGACTCTGGTGGGGCATTGATAACGGGGTTCAATCGGATCAGGTCGCTGTGTGTGCTGCCGGATGAGTACGACGACTTTTGCGAGTGCGGCGGGGACAAACCTCGTTCTGTCCGAGGCATGTGGTAGATTTTCTGGTTCGCGAGCCCCACAGGACTCTGTTCGTAGTCTTGCTGGTACTGGGGCAGTGGAGGACGACCCGTCATTCGCTGGTTTCCTCGTGCATTTACCTCGCGAATGAGCTGCTCGGTGGCTTGCACCTCTTGTGGATTCATGCTCAAGAAGTTGAACTGACTGTGGTTGCTGCCTTCGTTCGTAGCGGCAGTGGTGGCGAAACTCACGCGGTTGGCTTTGCAGACGTAGTCGACGGACGCGTCATCGCCCATAACTGGAATCAAACTGGAAGCCACGGAACTTTCGGGGGAATGTCAAGCCGTTGAGTGACAAGATGTCGGGGTCTCGAGCCAGAAAAGCGCTCACTGAAGAGTCCGTCGAGTAGCTGCGTGGCGTGGGATACGAGTTCATAGCGGTCAAAGTGGCTGGTGGTTTGCCCATGAACTCTACTGAGCTGGTCGACGAGTAGACTCCACGTTCATTGAGTGACAGACCTGAGTATGAGCTGCTGCTGATAGTGGAAAAGCTCATCTTTTGACCAGAGTATTGCGGGTACGGTTGGTATTCTCCAGAACGCATAGGCATCACCTGGTCCGGTTCGAAGTCGCTATCCGGAGGCGGTGGACCGTAGATGCTGGTGTAGCTGCAGTCCTCATGCCGGTTCTTGACTCGAGCGTTTCCAAGTTGAGAAAAGCTGCTGTTGCTACGACTTGAATCCTGCTGACTTCTAGCGTGGTTTGACATGGTCAGATTCATCTGCAGCTCTGACATACACGTGTTACACCCGCGCGTCTCGGTTAGCTCCTCCGTCTCAGCTCCGCCTGTATCATATACATTCCCCTTCCGACTCCTTCCACTTCCGTCACTGGCCATACGTTGATCCAATAGGCGATGGCCAACTATAATACTGTCGGAGCTAGCTTCACTGCCATCATAGTTGACGTCGAACGATGTCATGTTCACGAATCCGGAGCAGGAACCACACACGGCTTCACCACAGAAGCGACAGTGGTGTCGTCTTCGGTACGCACGGAACGTCTTGAGGCACAGGAAACAGGTATCGCTCTCCATCCACGTCATCTTGCTTGGATGTTGCATAGTCACAGCAGGTTTGGCTGCCTCTGCAAAGTGACTTACGCCCAAAACGAGTGTTTGTAGCCATTTACGGTATTTCTTAGCGACTTCGTGCCCCGCAGCCAGCGCCACACGCATACGTGGGCTCTGGGAGACTTCTTTCAGAATAAGTTTCGACGGCATCAGCGACAGTAGTAAGCTCAAACGAACCATGGGCCCGTTGGCATCTTCGTCCAATAATTCCTCGACAACTACACCTGAATTCCGGAAATGAAGACGGTCGGTCTTGGAAGACTTGGGCAGCTCCGGGATATCCCTGAAATTCATGCTGGAAAGCGTGTGCACTCCAATAAGTCTAGACCCCGTCATCGGTTGAAGTCTTCGAGAATCTCGCGCAACTCTGCGTCCTACGCGAGTTAGTTTATCACTAATATACGCTCGCTCGAACACGTCCTGGTAGCAGACCATAGTGAAGTCTCGGTGGCCGTCTAGCCCTCCTAGCTTGTTAAAGCCTCTTAGAGTGATCCAATTGGCGCTGTATCTGTCGTCATCACTGAAGGTTTGCCATCCCTTTTGCACCCCATTACTGTCCAGACTTGGTGTGTATGGGAGGGGCGTCATACAGCTTAAGGAGTCCACGATGGCGCCACTTTCGAACTGTTTCGCAAAGATTTTCTTCATGACAACTCGGAAATCCTCATACGTGCTGGTTCGTAGCACGTCTAGCATGGTGTTGACGTCAGCTTGGACCGTGGTCGCAGCTCGGACCAGATAGAACTCGGACGGGTGGCCACCCCCGCCCTTGCCGAAGGTTTGAACGGTGCTCACCTTGTTCGAAAGGGACTCGCCCGTCATCTCGTACATCTGCGTGCCGTTCTTGTCGCTGAGCTGTTTCCAATCATGCGTTGTGACTGTGCCTAACAACGCCAAGTCGGTCGCGTCCTCGCGAACGCGGTCAAGGATTCTGGATGACGGGGTCGCAGCCAGGGATGCCGAATATTGCATTTTTATCTATTGCTAATCAAAGCAGAAAATAAATAATTGGGTTAGAGAGCTGACTAGACCAAAATAGATTATTGAACTTCCTCAGCTCAAAAAATAGATTATTGGTGCAGCAAAATTGGTACACAGCGAGGGCACCAGTATCAAAGAATGTATGGCCAATTAAACACCGCCCAATAGATTATTGGTGCTACAACGGGAGCGAAAATAAATAATTGATCTTCCTCTCCAGAAAGTCTCCAATATATAATTGGTGCTTTCTTATTGCAATAATTGCAGCACCAATTTATTTTTCGGCATGCGACTCGCAGCCCGTTTGTTCGAGAGGCGCGAATTCATGACTCGAGCAATAATCAAGTCAAAGTCTCCGAGTTCGTGTTTACCTGTCGATTTGGCGAATGATCGATGGAAGTTGCACGAGAAACGAGGAGATTCGAAGGTACCGGTGCATGCGTGGTCTCATCATCTTGGTCTCAGACTGCCCTCCATGTTTAAAAAGGACAGCCCTGAATGGGGTCAGTGGAAATTTTCCACTGGAAATGAGGCCATCACCTCGGTGTCCGCAATTCAAGTTGTAGTTATGGTCTGACGTTGCCCGACATCAGTGATGTCACATCACCAATTGTTCTTTCATGATTGGCTGCTGAAAGTGCCCATCGCATAACTTCGACTTGTGTTTTTCGGATACAGTTGTAGTAATAATGCAACTTGCAGCTACGGGGACCGCACTTCCGCAAGTCAGGCGTGGATCGAGACGATAAGGCTTATCATAAGCAGCTCACACGTCCGTTACGGACTCCGTACTAATGTCTGTATGTCTCTTAACCAGCACATTCTCAAGGCTGCGCGCTTGCCATGAAAGATGTACTGTCTCCGAAGTTCTACAAAGGCGGAGAAATCAGGAGTTTAACTTGTGGAACTCGGAGTTACCATCGCAAAGACTTTTAAAAAAGTAAGTGGCTGGAGAGCGACCACTTCTTCGTCTACTTCAAGTCGGTCGGGTACTCATAACTTATAAGACGACGCTGCCACATTTGTCGGATATGCGGTGAGGCTGCCTGTGTGTTAGTGCTTATTCTGGATGTCCTCCATTGACGTAATATACTTCGTAAAACAAAAAAGGAACGCCAGCGAAGATGGTACTACTACTTCATGTACTAATAGTAGTCTACTAGTAAGTTAGTAGTAGCCGGCAACCGCAAAAAAGAGGTTCATGGATGTATTACTTGAATCTGTCCGACAGACTGTCGCCAAACATGCTCACGCGTACGGATTATTATTAATAGCTATATGTAGTTAGCCGACCAGCTTGTTGATACGCCTGTGCCATCGTCGAAGCACCTACAAGTAGTCGGCAACTGCCTGGTTAGCTTCTGATAATTAGTCTTGCACAAGATACTGATCGGAAAAATAAGTCGAAACCAATTATTACGGTCTTATATCGTTTTGCTGAAGACAATAATCCACCTGCTAGATCCGCCGGATCCAGCAGGATCTTGGCCTCTCCACCAATCAGCGCCGCGGATTTGTCCTGCCGTCCGGCGGGAACTGGAGTGGGACATCCTGCCAAAACAGGTGGGATGCCGGAACATTCGGCATCCTGCAGACTGCACATCTCCCCGCAGGCAGGACGAGGGCCAACGAGCAAGCCACACAGTCGCTCAAAAGAGGCAGACGACATTCGGTACGTACGTTTAATTTAAACGGGAGAGTTTAAACTTTAAACTCTCCCTCGTACAAGAGCCGTTCCATCTCCAGATTCCAGTCCAGTCTTAAGCGAGACTGCTGCGTTCGACGGCTCTTTCCTCCTCCTCCTGCAACACTAAGAGCATCTCCACCGGTGTGTCGCTATATCTATAGACTCGTTGCCTTCCGATTGGCCGGAATGTTTTTAGCGATAGACACCGAGAGGCATCACTCACCAATCTGTCGCTATGTGGAGAAATCGTCTTCTGCGAGAAGCTCTTGACGACGAGGAAGAGGCGTACGTCTGCTCGCTACTTTTGACCCCTCGCGCACCGAAAAAGAGAAAACACGGCGGTTCACAGCCCGGCAAGGCTGCAAATGTCGACAGAGACTTCACTGCGGCTAATGAGATGCTTGTGCGGCGAAGTATCGCCGCACAAGCATCCTGGTACTATCGTACAGTATGACTGCAAGATTAGCGTCCAAAGGTTGTCCGCCCTCTGATCGGCCCCTGCGATTGGGTAGCGCACCACACCGTGCACAGGGCGGCGTCTTCCTTGTCCGACCAAGCTTTTCCTCGAGGCATTGTTCGTTTGCAAGTGATCCAACCTCCTATAGATTTCAGTCGCTATGGCGTCCGAAATAGCGACCGAAACCCCCCGGTAGCTAAAAAATTGGCGATAGAGACGCCTGGTGAAACCCCAGTAGTTATCAATTTGAGCTCTTCAGTCGCTATATAGATATAGAGCCCCACCGGTGGAGATGCTCTAAGGCAATTGCGAGCCATCGCCGGCGCCGTCGGTTGCGATCGCTACGTCTATCAGCCCTGAGCATGCCCCCTCGTTCTTCAAATTCTTCAGAAGTGAGACAAGTGGGAGCTCGGTCTTACTTGGAATATAAACGAGGCTTTTCCATCGTCCTGCATGTCCTGCATCCGGCGAATTTTGCTCTAAAACCACCCACCCTCACTATTTTAGTGGACTAATCATGCACCCGACTATCATGTGACTGTATTCAGCAATAGTGATCAGTTTATCAACTCGCGAGAAGCGTCGCATCTTCACAGCTTCTCGCACAGCTACATAGCGGCAAACGGGTCGTCATGAGGATCAACGTTGGGCACGTTTTCCATGTAGCACGCCATTTTTTCCGCTGCATCCTGGCCGTACGTAGACGCCATAAATGCGTGTGCCATATCCATGCCCGCCGTGACACCAGAGCTCGTCCAGATCGTGCCGTCTTGGACCCAGCGCGCCTTATGGACCCACTGATCGTCGGATGCGCCCCCACGACGCTCTGATACGCCATTTTGTTGGTAGTCGCCCTTTTGCCATCTAACAGCCCTGTCGCCCTCAGAATAGCCGAACCGGTACACACAGTCAACACATACGTCGCCGTTTCCGCGACCCCCTTCAGAAACGTCATGAATGCCTCGTGTTCTTGCTTCATCAAGCGACCAGGAGAGCCCCCGGAGATGACGAGAATGTCAATGTGCTCCGTGACGTCTTCGAATCCGTGCGTGGCATACAGCGGCATTCCGAAGCCCAGCGAGTTTCTGCTGTGTAGAGGCCATGGCTTCAATGATATGGTGAGGAATTTGACAGGCTGATCACAGACAGTCGGGAGCTGCTCCAGATACGAGGTGACACCCACGTAATCTTGCTGTACGACGCCATCGAAGAGGAAGAAGTTTTTCCGTACTAAAAGCGTCCTAAACGTCCTAACTTGTCCTAATACCTACTGTCATAAATTACGGTATTGGCACAAAACTTCGGCATGGGTTATAGGATCGTTAGGACAGTTAGGACAGTTATGACAAATACGAAAGTTGTAAGGCTACACTACCCATGCCAACGAGAGATATCTTATGGCTTACAGAATGCAGAATGCTACTCAAACGCCATGTATTCCCCGGGGACTTCAACGTCCACAGACCGCGCATGAGCAGGAGCGCTCTGTCGACCATGCTTGATGTCGTCCAGCAATTTTATGTAGGAATGTGCCTCTGCCTTTGCAGCTTCAATGAAGACGAGAATACTTGGATGTGGCGCACCAATGCGAGCAGCAAATCGCGATTGTACTTCTCCAGCGGGTTATTAGTCCGATTTATCATGCTCACATTGTTGCGCCGCATCTGGCTCACGTTCCACAGCGACGTGTCGAACCTCTTTGTCCACGTTCGCACAAAATACTTACAGAACACCAGGTGCAACAGCGAAGTCTTTAATGGCGCGATCTTGCAGCTCCAAAGACATGTCGTGGCGTACGTCTGCGACTTCTTCTAAAATTTCTTGGTCGCAGCGGTGAATATTTTTTTCGATGATAGTGCCCCCCTTCTTGACTACAAGACGTGCTGGACACCCAGTCCGGAACTTCACGCAGCTGAAATAGGTTGTTCCTGTCTCCGGGACGGTGCGCTTCTTGCAGAAGCGGTAGTTCTTGTGCTCCATAGACAAAGTTGTCAAGTGACAATAAAAATTAAAACAGCTATGTGTTTCTGCATGATTGGTTCCCGTTAACTTTTAAAAACCTCAATCCCAAGTTTGACTCAAAATAGGTTTTATGATATGTCCTAAATTTCCGACTAAAATACCGGTTTTTAATTTTGGACAGTATTAGGATTGCAATATTTTTCCGGATTTAGAACCTTTTTAGGATACATTTTGCAATCTATGCCAGTAATTTACGACGTATTTTAGGATTTTGTAGGACAGATAGGACAGGATTAGTACAGAAAATTCGACACCCATCGAAGACGATAACGCCGATAGTCAGAGGGAGCTTCGCACTCAACATGAATTAGCTTATGTATAAGATATGACAAGACAACGGCTACTGACTTACGGGGTAAAAGGACTTTCATAATTTGTCACAAAAGCAAAACTTCAATTGACATCTCGGTGGTCGGACTCTTGCCAACGACACTACAGTCGTCTTTTGCTCGATCGCATGATCGCTTCACTGTACTTCACAACTACATTGGACACACAGAATGAGGGAGGACACGTTCTCGGTGAAAATAGTGCTCTATAAGTGCCACGACCTAGTGGCAGCGACGAACGAGGTGGGCGGCAAGAGCAGCGCGTACGTGGTCTTCACACTGGGGGACACAACCAAGAAGAGCTCGTGCGTCGAGAGCAGCCTTGATCCACACTGGACACCACCCGAGAAGTTTGAATTTGAGGTGGAAGAGTGGGAGAACGAGTTCCTTGTCGCACAAGTGTTTGACCGCAGCCGTCCGGGCCACGACGATCTTATTGGATCCGCGGTGATCCCGTTGACGCTGTACGCTGGAAACAGAAACTGCGAGATGTGCAGCTACCCGTTGGTACTGCCGGACGAAGTGGGCGGACTGGGGTCACCCAAGAGCGACATGTTCCTGCAAATTAGCCTATTGGATGCGGACGGCAGTCCAGTGGAGGAATTCTACTGGTAGCATGTTCGATAAATAAAAAGTGGAATGTATCTTGGTTTTTGCAGCGCCATCTTGGTTATTTCGTCATTAAATGCTAGCTTCATAAGTGCCGTGTTCCTGCCCATCGCTAGCTTGTCGATGTTTGCTCCTCTTTGCAGTAACAAATCCACTACGTCTTTGTGGTTCTTCTCCGCAGCACTCAGAAGCGCAGTCCATCCACTGAAATTGACCAAATCTACAAAAATACCACACTCCAGAAGGAGATTCACATCAGTGTGACCATTTTCGGCTGCTGTAATCAGTGGACTGTCTCCACCCTCGTCAACTGTAGCCATTAGCGCACCACGGTCCAGAGCAACTTCACCACGTCAAGGTTTCCGCCTTCACAAGCAGTTTGGAGAGCAGTCCATCCGCCGAGGTTTTTCTGGTTAATGGGTACAGTTTTATCCAGCAGGGTAATAACAACGCCAATGTAGCCATTTAAACTAGCATTCATCAACGCTGTCCAGCCTTTGTTGTTACCCAGATCAATACTCGCATTGTGTTTTATCAGCAGTTTAGACACCTCTGCATGTCCATTAACGGCTGCAACTAGAAGAGAACTGCCCCCCTCTTCGTCAACCAAGTTCACTGATGCGCCATGCTTGAGAACTTGAGAAGCGCTCGAACTGTCTTAGTGCTCCCGTCTTGGCAAGCGAGAAGCAAAGCTGTAGCTCCGTCTGTCCCCAGCTTGTCGACTTCTGCTCCGTTCTCTAAGAGCAACTTAACTACCTTGGGATACCCCTCTTCTGAAGCACGCATAAGAGCTGTCCACCCATCGGTGTTAGCCATGTCGATCGATGCACCCATTTTCAGCAGCTTTTTGACAATTCTCGTATGCCCATTTTCAGCCGCGCAGACCAACGATGTGTCGCCATTTTCATCTTTTGCGTCAATATCAGCTCCACGCGCCAGTAAGCTCCGTATAGAAGCCATATCGCCGTTCACACACGCAGCTTGAAGCGTTGCAGCCAATGTGTCATCGTTTTCAGACCTCTTCCTGAGGTTACTTTGGGGCTCGTCGAGTCCGCAAGCCTCTTCCTCTGGCTCTTCCCATTCGACGTGTCCTCCTAGGGCGTGTTCGTTTCCAGGCATCTTGCAGATGCTAGCTTGCCACTATCGTTGCCTTTTGCTGAATGGTTGCCAAGTACGAACTACGAACTGGCCAATGCACCCAAAATGGCGGTCTCACACGCATGCGGCAGACGGCGTTGGTCATAGACGCAGCGAGCTGATATCTGAGTCCCAAGGTTTGCAAAGTACATGTAGCCATCGTAAAATAGAGAGAACTAGTATTGATCATAATATGATTAATAATAAAAATCTCTTTTACATTTCTGCCGATAACATAATGAGTTTTCATTGAAATCGAGTGAACAAACCGCCATTCGCTTTGTCTCGGTGTGGGCTTTCTATTGGTTCCAGCGGTCCGTTTGAAGGGGTATTATTGGTTAAAATTTCGCGAAAATACTTGATGGCAGTATAATTACCACCCGCACTGTACATGAGTTTTGAACCTATTCATCTTCATAAATAAAAATAAAACAAGAAATGGAAAATTGGTCACAAATCCTTTTTAGAAACATTATACATGTAGTGATTTTATAAGAACAATTTAATATTGTGTTGGTCGAGCAGCTGCGTTGCTGTCCAAACACTCAGTTTTACAGATCGCTTCATGATGCATTCGATGTAGCGTTATTGCGTGACGAGCTAGACCGCTGAACCCAAGACAGTGGAATGAACTGCTTGCTGACGAGTACACCTAAGGTTGAAGAGCATCGTCAGATAATAGAGCTCCTACATGTTGAATATGGACGAATGCTAGAAGCCCGAGCTCGATAGATGTATCATGAGGCCTATGTTTCTTTTTCACGTACCCTTTAGGCGTGCAGTCGATTCAGTATCTTTTCCACCTTGGAAATGCATACGCTTTTCCTGCGGCATGCGGCAACCCACTGCTGGAGATTGAGGTGTTAAAGGCTGGGGTTGGCTAGGTGGCGCCGAAGGGTATTTTTTTCTCAAAGATAGTAAAGTGTTCGCGCGAGCAAACCATTGTTTTGCTGTCGGGTATACGGATCTGCTCGGCTGGTGGGTCTTGCGTGCTAACGGGTCGTCATTTTAACAGATCTGATGTACAGATCGTACTTGATATGAAGTACTTGAGGAAGTGGTTTCGTGCTACATGTATAAATATATATGTATATGTGGCAATACTCAGTGATTCCTTGAATGATATTCAGCAAATTCAGTGAGCTCAGTAGCGGTCTTCAGCGAATTTAGTAAATTTGTGGTGTATCGGGATCAGCAAAGTCGCGAGAATGCTGGGTCCAACTTCCCACCAGTACCCAAACGCCGAGGTCCCCCAATGATCCGTGATCTGCCGAACTTTTCTAACCTTGTGTACCCCTCGGTAGGGGGGTCTTACTCCTATGATAGCTGCAGAGAAGTTCAAGTGGCGGAAGCTAGAGAGTCTTGGCGAGACGAGGGTGAGGTAGAGAAAGAGTGGGAGATCTTTACTCTACGTTCGAGGCAGGGTCCAGATCACAAGCGAGTCCTTCGAGCTTGTACTGTACGATCTGGCGGTCTTGATCTGCGATCTGACCGTAGGCTTGCCTCGCCTTTGAGCTCCTTTTCGTCGTACTGGCCGCTTCCTATAGAGAGTTGAAAGCCTCTTCGGTATGCCCGGCCAAGTGGTAAATCCGGTTAACCTTACGAATCTGCACGTGTATTAGGAAACTTCACTACGTGGTAGGATCTGACCAATACTAGATATGCTATTCTCAAACTTCACCAAGCTCGCACGGCCAATGTAGCTCCAATTCTTGAGGGCACAAAGCCACTTGCGTAAAACTGTGCAAAATGAGCTCTGATTCAAAGAGAAGTTTACACCAGCCTGGATCTTTATCCTCTCTGTCCTCTATTCACTAAATCATTTGCCAGGTCTGGCCACTTACCCTTTCTCTCCTTGGTCCACCTCTCCAGCTGTATCAGCACCGGACCCCCCCCCCTACCCCGATCAGGGATACCCTCGACCGGGAATATGTCTGGCACGAGTACACCTGAATCCGGAGGAGCTTACATCTCTGGCCTGGATTGCGATCTCCCGCTCGCTCATCTCGGATCTTGCAATCTTCACTTGGATCCTAGTTGGCCTCGCCGCCCCCGGCCAAATTGCTACAGCTTCCGTCCTGATTCGTGATCCCTATCCACAGTTTCATTAATTTAGAACAGTGTCATTAATTTAGAACAGTGCCCAACAGCCACTTTACGTCTTCTTTTTTCTTGAAAAGCACTTCACCACAAATGCAGGAGCGACATATCGCGAGTCAGCAGAGGCATTCGGCGAATTTGGATGTATTTGCCCGTACAGCGCAATTCCAGATCCCACTTATAGCTCTGAAGCTGTGCATGACGCAGCCAGTTTATATCTTTAGCCCCCCCCAAGCATAATATCTACGCAAAGTTAGCTCGGTGTGATGGCAAAGTCAAACTTCACTACCCAAATTGCATCCTAGCGACGTGAAGACGCCATGGCGAGGCACAATGATGTGAGTCGCGACCCTCCGACCCCCCAAAGACCCTCGAGCAAATCAGCAAAGAAGAGATACCCCAAAACAACAAAAAAATCGTATGGGCTTCGATTACTCCAGAGCGTGAAGTTTACACCTCAAGATTGTGTTTCGCTGCAGCATCTACCATAGTACGGGGTGCAAGGCTCGACTAGCATTTCGACCAATTACGAGTTGGAGAATGTGCACACCTGAGTGCTGCCGGAAGAAGTGCGGAGGTCATCGACTACACACTGGGAAGCTGCGGGTTGAAAGTCTCCCCGTCATCGACTGGACTAAACCGGTGCATAAGGCGTGGCAGGAAGTGAGCGTGCAGTTTTACCTGGATGATGACGTGATTATAAAAAGACATTTTGAAGAGAAAGTAAAGGGTCTAGTCTACCGCGTCCAGCAAAACCACTAAGGGGCTTGCGTTCTTAACCAGGGCCTATTTTCTAGAAGAGTGACAGTTTCAAGACAAGTTAGGTCACTTTCCAATCAACATTACGCCGGATTTTTCATCAATTCAGACCTTAAATCGAAACACCGCAAGTTACGGTTATATTACATGGTACTAAAGGTGTGACGGCGTCACACAGCACCTTGCACAGAGGAAGTGCTTAAGGGTATTAAATACCCGAGTGAACGTTAGTCCACGTGTTCCCGGCCTCAAATGGAACGGTTTGCTATTTAGAAGAGTAGATTTAAGACTGATGTATTTATAAGTAAGATAAGCTTGGGTCTCATACAAACTAGAGGTTACCTATAGTGGAGCTAAGTAGTCATGCACTGACTGGTTCCAAGAGCACCTGGTACCGTGTACCAGGTGTCCACAAGAGTGCCGGGTCACTCATTATGTAACATGGGGCACACTGGATTGTACCCCGTTACATCCTCCCCCACTTAGCTGGGAATCACCTGATTCTCCAATCACAACTGATTCTCCAATCAGAAGTGAGAGAATTAAAACACCAAAAGGTGAATTCTCACACTGAGCAGCCACGAGACTGGCGCGGCTCTCAGTCACACCCACAGTGACTTGTGCTCCCAAAGCCCACTGGGATTTGCATCCCTATGCTTACAACTGTGTTGGCCGCAAAGCCTACACTCAGAGCTGCATTAGCGCCTGCGCTAGCGCGCGCACAGTGCTTTGGCACAGGGTGCAATAGCATCCGAACGTGTGGCATTCGCCCACAGTTCGCACCAGAGGACACGACAGTCCTCGCAAACGCGTCCGGAGCATGGTGTCGCCCGCGAGGGGCGACACCGAGAAGGGCAACACCTTCCCCAGCACTAGAGAGAGCTCTCCGCTCACCTCGAGCCATGGCTTGAGCTTCTGCCAAGCTCTCTTCGCGTCTTGGTCAACATACCAACGGCGCGTAGGTGGTTTTCATCGACACCGTGTACCGTGACGGTACACAACCGTGGTGTAGGTGTCTCCCATCGACACCATGTATCGTACGGTACTAACCTTTGGTGCGGTACGCCCACCACTACGTTGCCATGTTTGGCGGCAGCAGCTTCTGCTGTGCTGTCGCCTGAACGGATTCATGGCCAGTGCTCACATCATGCACGGCGCACGTGCAAGCACAGTGTACAGGTCCATGGGACCGTACACGAGGTACGCTGTGTACGACACGTACCACAGCTACCATAAGTACTCCGTGCACTTCATGTGTGTCATGCACGACAAGTTCATTACGTGGAACTCCTGGCAGGCTGCTCGACAGCAGCCAGTGCCGATGCACGGTACGTGCGTTGACTCACAGCGTCCAAAGCGCATCGGGTCGTGGTATGGTGCATATCCTTTGCACCTATACCAGTGTCTGTCACAGACACCATGTAACTTGATGGTACCCGACCGTGGTGGGGCATATCTCGCCACCATGCCACTGCGGCGTTGGTGTCTGGCATTGACACCGAGTACTCACGGGTACCAACCCATGGTGAGGCAAGCTGCCATCACCACGGTGGCACGCTCGGTGCGGCACCAATTACGACTGCGTGCCTTGCCTCGACCACCACCTGGTCAGTTGTGTGTGCACTCGTGCACCACACTTGGGTAATGGCTCCACGACCCATTATACCCAGCGCGTTGCGTACATCACGTACCGCAACCGCTTTGTCGGCGGGTGAGACGTTCCGTTCACCCTACTCTACAGGTCGTTCATGACCAAGGGACCAGTGCGTTGATTGCACTAGGCCCGCGCTTCGCCTCGTGTGTGGTTGCTTGCAACCCCAACACTGCTGATTCGCTCACCGATTCCAAGGCACTTTGCGCCAGTGACTTTCTTCGCCACTATGTCTTGTTCGGCTAGAGCTACCGCAGCTCTAGCCCGGCTGTTCGCCTCCAGCCTGCAGTCGATGTACATCGACGCCTGGTTCCGTAAGGTACTTGGTCTTACCTCAAGACCAGGGAGGAAAGGTATTTCCGAGCCTCTTCCCCACTTACACTCGAGACTATTGAGTCTCTCGTGGCTTGTGATAGCCACTGACAGCACGACGGCTACCTGCCTCTTGGAAAGTCAGGGAGGAAAGGTATTTCCGAGCCTCTCCCCCACTTCTCGAAGCCTCGATACTACTGAGTCTCTCGTGGCTTCTAATAGCCACTGGCAGGCGCGACGGCTCTCCGCCCTGTGCACGGCGTCGGTTGGACGTCCGCGTCGGCCGTGTCGACCGAAGGCATCGAGCCTTCGCGTCAGTAGTTTGAGTCTGCGCGACTTGACGTCGAGCGAGTTGCTCACGTCTGGCGAGGCCAAGACAACCTCGCGCCTCGAGCCAATGGCTCTGTGTGCGGAGCTATGTTACCCGCATTGGGTGTGAAACTCTGTTACCCACACCGGAAGCGCATACAGTGACTTCCTGATCAGTTATGGTCTGAGTGACCTTGCGTGGAACTTTGTTACCCACACTCGGAGCACCGAGTGTCGGTCTCCTTAAGCAGCTTCGCTGCTTGCGGAACTTGTTACCCGCAATGTGGACCTATGTTACCCACCTGGTGAATGCCCTTCGGCACCACCACTGTCGAAGCGCATGCGGCGCGACGACCTTCGGTGTTGGGATCAGCTGGCGTGGCAGACCCGCACACACACCGGCCAGAGTTGGTGTCCACCGACCGAGTCAGAGGAGTCCGGTCCCTGGACTCCGAGTCGCTTGAAGCGACGTCGGCCTGAACAAGGTTCAGACCCGACTTGCGGCGGCTGACGCGACGTGCACTTCGTTACCCACGTCGTGATGTCCCGTTGACGACATCAGAGGCACTCGAGACCTCGTGTGGCACTGTGTTACCCACACAGGACGCATGGTCATGCCTTCCTCTTCTGTTATAGTTTGGGCGACTGCGTGTGGCCCTACGTTACCCACCTGGTTAGCGCTTAAAGGCATAACCATTATCGAAGCCCGTACGGCGCGACGACCTTCGGCGTCGGACGCTGCTGGTGTAGCAGGCTCACACGCCGGGCAAAAGACCCACGCCCGTGGCATTGCCGCAGCGGAGCATGGTCTTGCTGTACGCAGAGCTGTCGGCGCGTTGACAGCTCCGTGACGCTTTTGCGTCCTGGTGGTCTGTATCAGACGACCCAGGCATGACGGAGGTGGGAACATGACTCACCAATGCTCCATCATAGACCTGAACTGGTAGGCCCTTCTCAGCCTTGCCACACCAAAGTCCGGGCTGTGCCTTATGTTCGGCACAGCCATGTTGTTCATGGCGAGAACTGCGAGCGACACCGCGGTGCGCGAGCTCATTGAGCCGAAACCTTCAAGTCCGTTGAGGACCATTGGTACTTCCTTCACCGTACCAAAGGCTAGTCCACCAAGGACCAGCCCACGGCCGCCACTCTGACATAGCGTGCAGTCGGATGTCGCTATGTCGCTATGTCAAGCGACATTTCGGCGGCGTAACAACACCCCAGAGCTCATCAAACGTTCAAGGGGTACCGTGCCCCCGTACATCGAGTGTACTACCAGCAGCCCATCACTGCCCTTCACCGGTTTGAGAGAAGCACGTCTCTCTGGGCTAAGTCCCGTGGTGCGCACAATCTGCACACCCATCACGAAGGCTTAGCGCTCTTCAGTAGGGCATACTGCCTCTACTGGTGGCCGGGGAGTCTTCGTCCACCTGGCCGTGGCCTGCGCCACCGGACTTGGGGCCCACGGGCTGTCTTCTTTCCGAGGTCTATCGAGGGACACACACACGCTGGTAGTGTTCATGTCCGCCGCATCCATAGCAACGGACCAAGCTCTCGGCTGAGCTTAAGTCCATGGGCTCGGGCTCGCTGTACGCACCGGTATCAACGGGCTGCGTGACAGCAGGAGCAACAGCGTCATTGCTGCGATGCTCCGCCTCCGGAGGAACGCCATTCTCATCGTGGCGATGTTCCTCTTCCCGAGGAGTACCAGCCTGCTTGTGGCTGTACTCTTCTTGGAGGGCGATTCGAATCGCCTCCTTCATAGTTGTCGCTTGCACCCGGAATAGCTGGGTGCGAACAGGACCGACCTTCAGGCCGTCCATGAAGACTGTAGTCTTGACGTCTTCAGGCAGAGGATTCCCTGCCAGAGATGCCATCAACGTGCGCATCTCTTGCGCGTACTCCTGCAGCTCACGTTTACCTTGCTTACACGCGAGAAAGCGTGAGCGCTGGCGGAACTCGTTGTTCGCCGGTAGGAACGCGGATCGAAGCTGCTCACACAGCTGAGCCCAGGATGCAAAGCATCCAGGAGATGTCGTCTCCTTGGTGTATGCCCAGTGCTTGGCACGTCCACCAAGGTTGGACAGGGCAAACGCCACCCGAACTGGCTCGTCCGAGATGAGACCCGCCTTCATGGCGATCTCCACCTCACGGACCCAGAAGTGAAGGTTCTCTCCTTCCTTCCCCTCAAACGCGGGGACCTTCAGACACACCGGCTTAGGCCTGGTTGCCTGGGGAGCGGCCATCGAGGCCTCTAAACTCCCGCGGACGTGAGCGATGAGACCACGCTCGTAGGTCTCAAACGCAATCACGCGTTCTTGTTCTAGACAGGCGTCGCCGCCGCCAAGCTGCGAAGGACATCTTGTCCAAAGATGCCTCCCATCTTCCGAACAGACTCGTACTGTGAGTCGTTCAAGCGAGGAAACTCGCTTCGGTCCATCTTGGCTCAAATGTTGAGCGCACAGAGGATTCAGGTAGTTCAATCTACCCGCGATGGTGCTGGATTGACTACGAGTGCTACCAAGTGTGACGGGGTCACACAGCACCTTGCACAGAGGCTTAAGGGTATTAAATACCCGAGTGAACGTTAGTCCACGTGTTCCCGGCCTCAAAGGGAACGGTTTGCTACTTAGAATAGTAGATTTAAGACTGATGTATTTATAAGTAAGATAAGCTTGGGTCTCATACAAACTAGAGATTACCTATAGTGGAGCTAAGTAGTCATGCACTGACTGGTTCCGAGAGCACCTGGTACCGTGTACCAGGTGTTCACAAGAGTGCCGGGTCACTCTTTATGTAACATGGGGCACACTGGATTGTACCCCGTTACAAAAGGAGCTCGACAGCTGGAAATGAGGCAGCAAATTGCTTTGAATATTGGTAACCACCGAAGGTTACATTGTTAGCTCTTGAATAAAGGATTTTTTTAAAAAAAACAATCGTAATTTCCTTATAGGTTTTTTGGGCAAACTCGACACCAGCTCTTGGGTCTTTTCTTGCCATCATCAATTTTGATAAGGGCTTATCGAGTCATTTGTACTGAAATGATTGCACTGGTCAAATAGAATGAAAGTATGCGATTTTTTATTTCTATTGACAAAACGAGGGCAACCTGGTAACGGCATTTCAAGAGGCTCGTGACAATACTGTTCACTTTCCGTATGAGAAGAAAACATCGTTTTCGTTTTTAATATGCACTGCAGTTTTGTAGTAGTGTATAATTCATCCACGCAACTACTCGGCATCATGTTCCACATCGGCAGCTGGGTCAGCATCCGAACTTGGCCGCATGGCCCTGGGTGCAACATATGTGGGCTGCCAGCAGACAGCAGGCTTCCCGCAGTGTCGGTAGGGTGCACCAGCTCTCGCGGGGTCCGCACGGGGTGTGGCGGTGGCATCATCGCCGCTGGTGGTGGATTTCTCGACGGGACCACCGGAGACCGCCCTTCCGAGCTCCACCTGCAGGCATTCACCCAACGGGCAGTCCTCCACCCGCTCTGCCAAGTACGCCACCACAGCCCTTGAGGCTCCGTCCGCCTGCTGACACCCCCCTCGCTATTTTAAACTTTGCCGGCCCCCCGTCCTTATTTCTATCTCTCTTGTCGTCGCCGCTACCCTTTTGTCGCTCTGGGCGCTGGTGGTCCGCCACCACCACCTGCCTTAAGCTCGCCTGTTTTAGAATTTTCAGTATGTGGCCCTCGATGTCTAATCCAAAACTAAAATAAAGGATGGCTACTTTGATATGGTGTACGATAGTTTTGGTACAGATCCAATAAGGGAGGAGCTCGGATTTTTATTATGGTTACTGACAATTAGAGGTTAAATTCAGTTATTTCCAAAATATAAACATTTTGACCCAGCTCACAGCTCTAATTGTCAGTAAAATTAAGTATTCTTATTTTTTTTATGTGCATAAGCCGTTTTATACACCAAATTCCGCAGAAAACAATGCACATGAGGTACCGTTCGCTGCTGATTAGTGACCTCTACCCAGTCATTTAATTCCTGGAATTTGGCGGGCGTACTCGTGGCGTCCCCTCGCCCACTACGGACATGCTGGTTAGACACTTTTGCCACCCCGTCGCTACTCATCAGCATCACAACGCTCACAGTCGCCATCAAAGGTCACGTTGCTATACTAGTTATCAGCATACATTACACCACCACCACCTAGCGCGAGACGTTGTACTTCTCCATCCCACCAATTTATTAAAAGTTTGGTTTTTTAAAAGCCGCATTACCAATATGAGCTTGATGAAAGCATAAGTACCCTTATTCGAAAGCTTGAGTCAGCGTGCTATTCGCTTTATTTTTAGTGGCTTCATAACAGCGAGCAAGTAAATATCGCCATGAATGTGGACTAATACTTGGTGGGAATTCTGTTATTTTTCGGAATGTATATGTTAATTAGCGAAATTGACAAAACTTGCAGAAAATGCTCATTCCGATATGATGATCCAATACACATCAACGTAATCACGATCGACGTGTGTAACATTCGCTAATAGACGCTCAATTACATGAGGTGTTATTGGTTGTTAAGTCGATATAGATCATATCAGAGGAAAATGTCATCAAATCATTGGAAGAAGCACGATATCAGCGAATGGGATCATTGTAACATTCTGCGTGTGTTACACACAAAACGAAATTCGTACAAATTGGTGGGACGGAGAAGTTAAAGACACGATATGACGTAATGATTAAGCTGTATAAGACATGATTAGAAAAGTAAAATTGATTAACATATGGTCCCATGTGACTTTAAAGTAAATGAGGGTAAGGCATTTTCCCGCATACTTCCTGTGTATCCGTGCAGAGATGAGCAGTGTCTTTAACTGAGAATTTCTTTAAAAAAATTAAGAGATACAGGAATATTGTGGTGCACACTACAGTTTGATAAGGAACTGGAGGTGTGATCTCACGCCATCTGCTCATTTCGAATCTTCCCCAGAAGTTGGCGACACAAATCGCTGCCTCAGAAAATGGCATTACAAGCGCGTTGGAGAGAGCTGAGATAGCTCGGATGGGATTTAAAGCAGCCAACTGGCCTCTCCATGCATCACACGTAAAGCAAGGCTGGATAGACGAAGAACAACGTAGAGAGCACAAACTATTTCGTGGATGAAGACGCAGGGTTGGATTTTGCCGCGGCTTTATCACGGCAATTCGGCTAAACTGATTTTTTTGCCGATCGGCAATTCGGCTAAATCGGCAAAATAATTCGGCTGTATCATCCGGCTAGCTCCAACTTGGACCACCACACGCAACCGGTATCCGGGCATTATCCGGACACGAAAGGAGCAGCCATTTTGATAGTGGAGCAGAAACAATAATCTGCGCAGGCAGGGGGTTTCGGCGGGGAAGAGCGTCGTTTTGCACACGGATGCTGCTGGTAGTAGTGGTGGACGCTTCGCCGCAATTATTCCCTCCGCTCACACCTGTCGAAGCAGCTATCAAACTGCAAGCAGTGTGGCGAGGTCTTCAAGCTCGACGTTTGGTCTTAAACTTGCTGTGTGATCGATACGAAAAGCACAGAAGGAGCGCGTGTATCACATGGGAAAATTGGCAAACAAAAAGGAGTTGCCACCAAAGTTGTGGGATCCGCCGCCATTACTCTGCAAGCGATACGATCTGAATGACCCAGTCGAGATCCAACGACTGGCCAGGTTTGCTACCATGACACACGATGAAGCTGCTCGGATCGTTCAGCACGCGTACCGATGCCATCGAGGTCGTGAGCTCATGCGTCGTATTCTGCGTTCGAGTATCAAGAAACTCTGGGACGCCACGGCCGGGAGGTTCTATTACTACAGCGCCACTACTAAGGAAACGTCCTGGGAGAAACCCCGACTTCTGCTTAATGAGGCCGACGACGAACTTGGATCTACGGCTGACCGTCATCAAAATCCAGCCCAGGGACGTCGACGAGTAGCAGTCACGTTGAGACCAGAGAAATTCCACAACGAGGAATCCGCCGCACGCACGATTCAAGCGCTGTACCGACGATTCGCAGCGCGTAAGATGCTTCTCCAGCTAATCACGCGCCGATATCGTAAAATACTGGACCCGGTGTCTGGTCAGCCATACTACTACGACAGTGTTTCGGACACTGCAACCTGGTTTAGACCTGCAGTGTTTGGTGAATAGGATCTTGCACTCGTGGACGACTCGACTGTATCTCCGTCCAGAAGACGACAAAGCACACTTGTAGCTCCTCAATTCTCAGCCTTGTACTCTGTAAGGAAGTTACCACGCATCAGTGAGCGTGCTCGTCTCAAGCGACATAAACGAAGACTACAGCGTCTTCGGCAAATGTCACGCGATGAAGCTGCTTCGTGTCTGCAGCGGATGTGATGAACCCATCGCGCCAGAGAAGAACTGCGCGAATTACTGTACGACGCGTACGAGAAAATCTACAACCCCACCTCGGAACACTTCTTCTACTACAACCGCAAGACCGGTCGCAAAGTGGGAAAACCCCGCTTCACTACGGTCGAGATATCAAAGAGACAAAAATATACAGGAGACGATGCTCACCCACAGTCACAACGCCCTATGAAGCCAAGCACGTCCTATTCACATTCATGCGCTGTGCCGTCGCACGACTGAACTCCACCGTCTTCTACGTCTTGGCATCAATGCTGTCGGGCTGCAAAGTGCCCCTGACCGCCACGGGCCATCCTACGCAGCGAGGATCTCGCCCTCATCGTTGCTGCGCTGAAATAGGCATTGCTGCCGCAGGCAGTATTGATGCATCCGCAGTAGGAAAGCGCCCTCGAACATGAAGTACACCACCGACAGCTCAGCGATGAAGTAGAGCAAGAAGTACGTCAGGATCGTCCATGTAAGTGAGCTGCACAAGCATTGTATTAATTGCGCTTAGCTATGCAGACAGTGATGTCACGTAAGGCGTCAATCCAAATGTGCGCTCCGACGGGAAAAGTGTAGTAAGACTAAAGTTTTGCCCTCGAATTCCAGTAAGCTTGGTTTCCTGTGGGAAAGTCTTCACATTTGTCTGAGGAAACTCCGTCGTATCAGGTTCTGGAATAGCGTCTTCGAATCCTTCAAATATATTTTGTTCGAGCTCGTCGTCTTCGTCAATACACGTTTCGTCAAGTATGGACTCGTTTCCGTCCAGATCATTCAAGATGTCTTGCCAATACTCGGTCGTGTCTTCGCTGGGTACATCTTGGTGAGCAATTACATGGTTTTCTTCTAGTTCTTCAAGCGTGATAGGAGTGCCCATATCACAATTTCCAACGTGCTCTCTCTCAGCGGCAGCGACGATGCGTTTGATCTCGACAATATCTTTTCCTTCGCTCGCTACTTTATCCAGCTCCCGAATCGCCTGACGAATTAGGGAGAACTTACGTGCCTTCTTGATTGACATTCTGTTTTTCGGGGCTGTGTGAATTGCAGCCAGGTCGCTAAAATATCTCTCGCATGTTGCCGTATTTACTGCGATTGAGAGAACTATTGCCGCGAGCTTAGGCAGCTTCGAGTCAGCTCTAATATTACCAGCAAAACCCCAAATATGTCCAACATCACCACTGAACTGAGCAATTGAGCTTCTAACAAATACACCACGATACCAGGCGTGTAAATCGGCTGCCAAACCCTCGATATCGCTTTCATTGGCGATTCCAGCATATCGTCGATAATAATAGATACCATATCCACATAATCTCTCGAGAAATCTCAAACTCGGTGACTCCTTATGAATCGCCACAGCAACGCGAACATACCGAGGGTGTAAGAACAAAGCTAACAGCATTAAGGGCTGCTCGCATTGTTGCCATCGCTTCTCTACGAGCGATACTAACTCCAGGTTGTTGAAATCACCCAGAAATCCTTGATAAATATCTCGGTATGAAACGATAACATCTGCCAATGAATTCTCATCGCGTTGCAACTTGTAGGAGACATTGGAAAGTGGACGAATTATCGCTTCAGCAGCTCCAAGCTTTCGCCAAAAGGAAGGTTCACCAAATACTTGAAGTGCCTGGGGGAAATCAATGCAGCTGTTGTATTTGACCCAAAAGTGAAGTAGTCCACTTCTCACACGCAATAAAGAGGCAAAACAACCTTGCATGCTGTTCCACCTTGTCTCGCACAGATTTATATACCCAAGTGACTTACAGTAGGTTGATGTAACCAGCTCTTGCGCCCGAACTAACCACTTAGAAGATGATGCATTCAGTGTCACCGTAGTTAGTGATGCCTGTTTGGTTAGCTCGCGGAAAGACGCGTTTAACACTGCTTTAACCAGGTTATTTATGTCATGAGCAAAACAGTGAACGAACGCGATCCGTGGATGTCTGCGTGCCAAAATACGCCGGGCGACCACACTGACCAGCGTTATCGGTTACAACAGCTCCAATTGTCCATCCATTCTTTGTCTCAATTTTACGCATCACCTTCTCCATTTGCTCAGCAATCGCGACCCCGTCGTGTCTTGAGCCAGTTGGAAATAATCCATAGATCACGATAGTACCGAAAAGGGCAAGCATGCACCCAAGTAAGTGCAACTTAACAACATTCATCCATACATCGGATAAATAATTCAATCGACCGCCACTAAACGCCAACCGGTTGTTGAGCGCCAAAACTTGAGAGTCTTCTTCAACCTTGCTGTATTTTTCCAGAATTTTTCCCATTGCTTTTCGCTTCGGAACAGCTTTTTCGCAGGCCCGGTTGAGAAAAATGAAAAGCCTGCGAGTTGATGGTTTTTCGATGAAACGGTCAGGTAAGCAATTATCTGCCTGAAACTGGATGAGTAATCGCTCAAATTCATCATGATCGTCCTTACAAAAGACTGGATTAAAGTATTGACAAATACACCGACTTCGTTTGGCGGAACTTGCTGAAGAAGCATCCCCAATCGAGGACCTCGATGCAGACATTGATGAAGCCGAGCTGGAAGGAGGTTTCGCTCCGCTCTGTGCTAAGAAGTGGTGTAGAATTGTTGGCTGAACCAGTGGAGCTGTGACATCACCCCGTTCTTGTGCCTCTTTAAAATACTGATAGTCCTTGAGATGGCTAGTATAGTTGGTGTCTCGCCCCGAGATGACTTTGGGCTCCGGTGGTGTCTTCTCTCTCGTATGGTCGTTATACGCAGCTAGGCAGTGTCTACACACAACCTGAGACCTGCCTCCTTTCTTAGGTAGCCCCGTGTCAGCAAACTGCTGTCCCTCGAAGCCTTGCGAACGCCCCATTCTCCCGAGGCAGAGGTGGACGTCTTAACAAGAGGGAGGGAGGTCGGAGGAATCAGACTCTGGTCTCTGATTCAGAGATAGACGTTATACAAGACAGCATTTTCTAAATTTGTCTCCTTTCGGTATAATAGTATCCGATTGACGTGTCTATACGGTCATATACATTTGATAGCTCGGCGACTTTGATCGCAAATCGGACAGGATAATAAAGCCGATTGCTTTGGCAAAATCTAACACTGGAAGAGCTGATGCGCCTATAACGACACTGGCTCCTGACTCGTGTGGTGATCGCACTTCTTCTGGTGAAGGTGCTGACCCGAAGACTACAGACTGCAGCCCAGCGACGCGGGGCAAGGTGGTGACGCTTCTGGTAGTAATGTTGGAGTGCAAGATGGTGTCTCCGTGCCTCCTGCTGACGCTCCGAGCTCCAGCGGAGACAATGATAGTGCTCTGCTTCGCCTATCCACATGTGCGCCGCCGGTGCTAGCGTAGACCGCGGTACGGCTGGAACGGCTGCTTTCGATTCGGACGACCTTGTTCTTTAAGATGCTGACACTGAGTGGTGGTGAAGGTTGATGGATTTGAATATGTACCATACAATGTGTGGTACTGATGTTATCGTGTATGGTACAGCTCCCGTGGATCCCCCAATGGAGAGATCTCACTTCAGAACTACTGGTACGAATTCACTCTATTATCCGTTGGATATGAAATGAATTGCTATGGTCTATCGCAAATGGTGCAGACGCCCCCTCCCCACCGTAATCTTGTCGAAGTAAGTTTTAGTTTTGTGCCACCATGCATGTGGGAAATTATTGCTGAAGAGAGCAACTACTTCAGACAGAGCCTACAAGTGCGAGTGACGGCGCAGAATGTTAAATAGAAGGCATGCAAAATAATGCGACCTGCCAGAGCCCAAAAGAAACTAGATCTAATTTTGAGCGTGCAAGCACTGCCTTTTGGTATTATCGATTTGGCGATCGTAAACGCGTCCATTGTGTACAATTGAAGATGCGCGCCCATAAAATTCACTTTGTAAGTGATTAAACATATTTTCCGCGCCCCTCCGACCTGATGCGTCGGGTGTCGGGCTTAGATGACCAACCTTCCCCCTTCGCAGCTGGCATATAATACATGGATATGGCTGGTTGTTTAGAATATATAAAATATGATTGGCCATTAATGCTGATACTAAACTTAAGAGAGGTCGGATAAATGATGATATTCATCCATACCGTATCGAAGAAGTAGCCCCACAGCGGAGCGATATCCATTATGAGAAGCAGCTTTCAGGATAAATATGACCACAATCGTGTACCCATTTAGAACAGCACTCATTGATGTTGTCCAGATCACTTTGCCGACTTGTTCCTACATAAATTATAGCGTTACAACAGAAATATGTGTTTCCTCCGAAGCGAGGTTTTCCGCCTAGACTAGCAGATACGAATTCTGGGGAAAACGTGGTGGAAGCTGTTTGAAAGCGGAAGCTCACATCTATTTGCAATTGTTTATTGAAACCGAAGCACGTTTCTTTGGGAAAAACGTTTTTATCAAGTAATTGATCCGTGAAAACCAAGCACACCCCTAGTAATACCAAACCAAGCAGTTGTGTCAATGAAGACAAGCAAGCGCCAAACGTATGTCGACAGGTCAGGTCATATGTATTTTTTTATGTATTACTGGCAGCACTTCCACTATCAGGTTTTCTTTATAGTTTTCGCCCGTGAGCCGTTATGTTTCATTGAGTATCCTCTTATTCTCCACGCGGCGAATTAGTAAACACCGCCTTGATACCTCCACGCACGTTAATACCATCACTGTGTGCTAGCTCAATACCTGCAGCGACCTCCTCCACGAACAGTCCAGCAGTCTGATTCCGTCGTCAAATGATACGCTCCGGAAACGCTCGGCACCCAAGTCCAAAACTTT